CTGACATCAGTAATCTAGCAGAAACCTAATATGTTTCCGTCGCTCCTATGATCATTGATTTCACTTCAAGTTGTGTCACGCAAGAAGCCAAGACTTTTAACCTTCAAGGCTACCATTTTTTCGAAGTTTGTAGTGACATGTTTATCTTTTTAACAACAAAGAACTTTTTACGATCTACTTTACATTTTTATCGACCATGCTTGAGGGAGAGTAAGACATTTTAAGAGTAGAGAGTTAATGAGTGAGATATTTTGAAGCCGTATACGCGAAGAACATTTTTTACGAAAAATGTTTACCTTTTAATTCATGATCTCTTCCATGATTTTGAAATCAAGCTTGACGACACAAAAGCTAATCTGGAGCTAAGAAAACTCGAACGCACTTATTGATCTATGATTACTACTAGTCAGTAAATTTAAATGGTTTGGTCTGTAAGCGGGAGAGGGAAACAGTTATTTTACGTCAGTTTACTTGAAGATGCTACACTAAACATTGAAAACTTAAAAGCACCCGAATAGTCTTTGGTTTAATTGGCAAAGCAAACAATTACATTACCTGCTATCGATTCTGTTGCAGCATCTTTTTCACAGTCGTTCTGTGGAACGTCACCTTCTTTGGTTTTTTCAAGACCTGTAAATTTTTTTAAAAAGTGATGATTAAAAGAAAGAAATGTCACTCTTAAAAAAAAGAAGATTCCAACCTAAAAAAGCGCCCCATTTATTTTTTGTTATAAGTTATAAGCCAAATGTTTGGCTGTGCTTTTTTTGTTATTTTCTTTTTATATTCAAAAAAAACCCCACCATTACTGCTGCATATGAATAGAAATCAGATGACTTTGATGTCTCGCAATGTTATAGATTTTAATTTTATTTACCCTTAACTCCTTCAAGTCATCTCAAGTGTAGCCAACAACAAATTATAAAATTATACATAAACGTTTTAAAGAATGGAACTGATCAGCCGGTAAAAAAGATCTTGATTGTTAAACAAATTCCCCTCATCAGTAAAACAAGATATGTATGGTGAACAGTGCAGAGAATGTGAATGCTAACATTAAGGTTAAAACGGTTAACGACAATATATCTGAAGCGATCACATAATAATAATAATAATAATAATAATGACAATAACAATAACAACAAGAACAACGACGACGACACCAAATATTTGTATAGTCCCTATACTTTTCAATGTTAAGCGCTTAACAGTGATTTAAAAAGGTTCGGATAAGAATTGAAATCCTGGAATCATTTACATGTAATCCTTACATAGTCAAAAAAATGCAAAATCAAAACCCAAAACTCGCTTAAAAAGAGAAGGTCCTCAATTTAGATTTAAATTTATTCACATCATCGATCGATCTAATATCAATAGACACATCGTTCCAGAGAAAATGGGCAATGACTCAAAAAACCCTTAACCCCGTATGTCTTTAAGCTTTAGGGTTTAATAACGAGACGCCATTCGTATGAAGATGAGCGAAGGCACCTCGCAGGTTCATAAACAAAGAAGAAGGTCTACCAAATAAGCAGGAGCTAAATTGTTGAGTATCTTGAAACATAAAAGATTAATCTGAAAGATTATTCTTTGCTCCACTGGTAGCAAATGCAGCTCCTTTAGAGTATCGCTATTATGATCAAACTTACGTAAGCAAGCAATCACACGCGCTGCAGCGTTTTTGGACACTTTGCAGCTTGTTAATATCATACTTGGGAAGACCGTATAAAAGCGAGTTGCAGAAATCCAGCTTGGAATTTATGAATGCGTGCACAAGAACTTCAGCCGTTGTAACATTAATATACTTACGAAGCTATATTTCTAAGGTGGTAGTATTACGCGCCTTATTTGTAGGCTCGATGATATCAGTTCCTATTTTAATAGAAGGAAGCCGCGGGGGCAGTCTGAACCTAGAATGGAGAATGAGAAGTTCCGTTTTGTCATTATTTAGTTCCAGTTTGTTAGTAGTCATCCGGTTAGTGATATCGAGAAAACAGCTTTCAATCCGGGAAATTGTAGTGGTAAGATCAACGCCATCATCACAACTGAAGGTGTGTACAGTTGAGTGTCATCAGCACATAGATGGAATTTCATATCATGCCATCGTATAAGGTCACCCAGTGGGGCCGTGTATAAGAGATATAGCAACGAACTCAACATGGACCCCTGGGGTACACCAAGTCGGAGCGGACGAACTGAAGAAGTAAATCCATCAATCTGAACTGACTAGGAACGATCCGTAAGATAAGACTGAAGCCAGGCAAGGGCTTTTCCTCTTGTACCTAACCTGGATCGAATTCTTTGTAACAAGATCTTAATATATAGATTTAGCCAGGGCTAAAAGCGAAGCTCCCATTAATAGATTTATAATTTAAAGCAAACAATAAACTTGTAATCCACAAATCAGTTAACTTTAAGGGAAAGCTAAGGCTAAGTGATTTTAGAGTGAAAAAAAAATCTTACATCGAATTGATAGCCGTATATATACACCCAAAAAATAGCAATTATCTTCGATCACATTTTAGAGCCATAATGGCTCTTGATCACTGTAGATTAGGCCTGGAAAACGAATTTTTGGAAAACAAATCAGGCCGAATTTTTTGCGTTCGACAAGTTTACTTAACAAAATCTTGCCAACAACTCTGGGAGCGTGTAAACCAACATTTCATACTTTTTATACATCACATCTGAAACAGTAATATGAGGCGTTGTTTTTATCATATAGACCTCACACAAAATGCAGTATTTCACAATTTTTCAAGACAAATTGCACTCATTCAATCTTCAGAACCGTAGGATGCACGCGTGGGCTTTTAGCAAAACCGTTCCAAAAATTTCCAAAATCACCTATACGGCCAGCCGGTTCTCACTTTTGACAAGTGCCAAATTTTCAGTGAACATTAAAAGAGTTACGCGCTTCAACATAATAAAGAATTTATTGTGTTTATTTTTTTTATTAAATGGTTTTATAACGATGTGTAATCTTAAAAAGCGTTTGATACGAGCAGCATTTTGAGTACTCCTGCAAGCGTTGTTTATGAACGACTGAAAACAAACGGCAAAGCGATTAAAATTGTACGAGACTACTAACAATCAATAAAAGAAATGTAATTCGGTGAAACATTTACAGAGTCAACAATTTTCATTCACGGAGACAAGTATTAAAGCGTCTCTAAAAATCCTTAAAGCTTTTAGCCGGCTTCCTGGTGTTTACTGTTTTCAAAGATGAACTCGAGGCAAGAAAATCGCTCAAAGCTTTCTTTCTACAGCCAAAATTATAACTAAATACTCTTCGGAACGTTTTTTCGTTCTATATGCGGAGAGAAAATATCGACTAAAGGCTTTTTAAAGTTCTGTAAGCTTATATATAGTAGATCAGATCATTGTCTCAGGTCTTTATACAAACGTGCATAAATTAGCCTCATTAGCTGCGCTCGACTTCATGAAATTAGATATAAAAAAACAAACATACACTGTACACAATAATTACTTAGGCTTACCATTCGAGATGCAGCTCTTGAAAGCTATAAAGTAAGGCCAGAATCGCTTGAGGGACTTTTCAACCCGCATCCAGCAAGGTAAAAACGAAAGCGATGCATCCGAAATCGGATTTCCAACTTTGGCAACCGGCGCATTTCCCGACCAAAAATTCAATAAACAAACCAGCCATGAATCAAAGAAGACTGTTGATACCAGCTGTATTTCATTTTAAGCATCCAGTGGAAAAAGACAGTAAAAAACATTACAAGTTGACAAAATACTCTGTCAGCTTCAGCTGTCAAACTGAAAGTAAACAAGGTTGAAGATGCTGTATAAATCAGTTTCTGCATGAACTCACCTGTCAAATTTTGACCAATCAGAGCATAAAAATTGGACGGTCGTAGAGCGTGATCAACGCGTGACTATGGTGAGAAAAGTGAAAAGCCTCTGTCTTCCTGCTTGTATTTTTAAATTACTGGCTGAATTTTCGAGTCCGAGATCAGTTTGAAATCAAAATGTTAATAGCGCGGGGCCATAGTGACATTAACACAACACTTTCTGTCATCATGTCATTATTTTGCTGCCGTTCTCTTTGCCTTTGTATTTCTCTTTCGCGTTGCCTTTGTCTGTTCATTCTAGCTCTGTCTCGTTCTGCTTGCCGGCGTTTTTCACTATAATTTTCTCTCCTTCTTCTCGCTCTGACTCTTTCTACTTGCTTTCTTTTTTTCAAAACCAGTTGCGCGATATAATTGCGCGACGTCAACGCGTTGCGCCATGCGATTTCCCGCCAAAAAATCTCTACTTTCCCCTACCCCAAGAGTCCATGCGGACTACTTTCCACTACCCGGAAAGTCCGTACGGACGGACGTACGCTACGTCATAACCAAATTTTCTGAGATGGATAGTTTACCAAATTTTCCTACCCATGGTGCTCCGCTACGCGCGCGCGAAGCGCGCGCGGGAGCTCCGCTATGATCGACGGTGTCGAAGGCTGCTGATAGGTCCAGCAGCAAGAGAACGACGTATTGTTCATTATCGATTGATTTTAGTATATCATTTTGAACAAGTAGAAGCGCTGTCTCACAACTGTGGTGTTTCTTATATGCACTCTGGAGACTTTCATTCAGATCATTATCACACAAACAATCCCTCAGACGCATGGCTGCAACTTTTCAATAGCTTTAGACAAAAACTTTAGGTTAGATACAAGTCGAAAGTTAGAACAGGGTCTAATGATGGAATATTTACAGAGGGACTGCAGCCCATGTGGTGGCCCTTAAAACCAAGATCTATCAAGAACACTACAGTAATTTATTTAAGTAATTGAGGGTGCTACAGGAATTTTTTGAGGCAGAAAATTTTTTGTTATGAATAATTAGTCTATTGAAACGGCTAATTGTACCGTAATAAGAAAAAATAGACCTCTTATTTTTTCCAACACGTTTGCAAATAAGGTGCCACAATAAAGGTCAAATGTCTTCCATTTCATAACGCGAGTTAGCAACTCTTGAATCACAGTATTATCAGTCATCTTTACCTCCTTTCTGTGGAATAAGGCTAACATAGTGAAGCTCGTACACGTGACCCAGCACAAGCCGGTTGCTACTAGTAACATCAAACTCTGGGCAGATCATTACGTCATGTCGATGCGGAAGACTGCTGATCACGTGAATGCAAGTTTGAAAACAGTTTGCCGCGCCGTGTAGAATCACGTGATCACCCCAAGTACCATCTTTTATCATGCTAGTGAGGTAGGCATCCCAAGATGGATGTCCATCAACAAAATGAAACAATTCTGTCCCATCCGGCTGTAAGAAAAAAAGAAAATACTTTAGTTGATAGAGAAAAAGGTAGAGTGCTTTTGTAGAAGGTATATATTCAGGCAGCTGTGCTGTCGTGAGCTCTCTCCAAAGCGGAACCCGCTGGTATCGGCACTAACAAAGATTTGTCCACTTTAGTAGTGTAGGAGGCACTCATTAGACCCCTTTTTTGAAGTGGAATCAATTAACGTCGATGACGTCTTTATCTCATTTGCGCGCCAAGAATCAGTGAACTGGAACCAGAACAATAAGGCTATGTTCACACTATACCGGATAACCCTTAGTGAAGACACGACATCTATCCGATATGTAACTATCCACTTAAGAGATCAGCGAGGCACAGCTTCTCTCCGTTTAACAGAAATCGCTCCGAAATCACCGTTCTTATGTGTGAACTGATTTTCGTGCCGGCGAAAAAGCTATACGATACAGTGTGAACACACCTTAAGTTGCCTGCAATGGACACTGAGGGCGTCATGGTTCAGTGATTTTAAGTCACAGGTGTCTTCATCACCAAATGAAGACATGACCCACATAATGAATGATTTTCCAGTAATCGGAGACCCATGTTTTGCGCACAGGATCATGGGATCGCCAGGGGGCGAACATTTTGAGAAAATATATGGCGTGATTTTATGAGAAGGGGAGGTGACTAATGTTGGTGCGTTGAAATTTCAAGTTTCTGTGTGATTAATGCGATAAATTCTGTCGATAAACACTCCTTGCTTGAGGTTGAGAGTGAAATTTGTGGTTACTGAATTCAGTTATGTACATTAAAGGTCTCGAAATATATAGTGCAAATTTAGGTATAAATGTAGGGGCTCATTTAAGCTTTTCAGTTGTAATTACGTGTGGTGATATTTACAACGAGTGTAACTACGCTCGGCCGCGATCAGCGCTATGCGGCGCTGTGCGGGTTGTGACAAGACAACAATCGAAGGTATGTACGTGGCCATAAAAACAAAAAATCCTCCTCTACGTTGGTATAAACAAAGTAACATCTTCGAAATATTTCATGGAAAGTACATGGTATAAAAGCATTAGTAGATGAGGCAGAAATAGCAAGAGAGAGTGTCGCAAAACGAGTAAGATTTCCGATACAAAAACCGTGAGTGTGTAACTGCAAATAAATTGATGTGCGAAATTCAGAGATTCCTTATCTTCCCACAAAATGATTGGAAAAGGCAGTAGAACTCATTGTTGCTCTGGATCATGACAAAACATTTTGCTAGCGTTTTTTTCGGCGAGAAGAAATAAACATACCAACTTGGGAAGACGGTTTTGTTTTTAAAGTTAGTACATTTCAAATTCTATGTGTACCTGATCGTTGTCACAAACTGGCACAGCGTTGTGATCGCCCCGAGCTGAGCGTAATTACACTCGTTGTAAATATCAGCACAAGTAACTACAACTAGAAAGGCTTAAATGAGTCCGCATTCCCCGCTCATTTATACCTAAGTTAGTACTATATATTTCGAGACCATTCAGTAAATTTTACAGTCGACCTTTTCGCAAGGAGTGTTTATCGATAGAATTCATCGCATCGATCCCACAAGAACTTATAATTTCAACGCACAAACATTAGTCTTGTCCGCTTCTCATAAAATCATGGCAAAATGCGGCATTCTATGTCCAAAGACTTTACTTTTTCAACGGAGAAACAATTCCACGCCATACATTTCTTTGCAGCGACTTGCAATGTTTGCCCCCTGGCGATCCCATAATCCTGTGCGCATAACTAAGTCTCCGATTACTGGAAAATCATTCATTTCAAATGATCAACAAAATCATTCTCACAAATAAAGGACATGATCCCAACAAGTTACATCATCAATATAAGAATCAATCAATATACTAAATACTACATAAAAATAGCTCGTGACGTTATCTTGATGAGATTCGACCGCATTTTATTGCTGAGATAAAGATGTCATCGACGTTAATTTATTCCACTTCACAGAAATAAGATTCCACTACAAAAAAGGTGTCTAACCTGCGTGACCTATACTACTCCCCTCAAAATATATATATATAAAAAAAACAACAGTTAAGAATGGCAGGGACCAACACTTTTAGGGAGGTGTCCGTTACACGTGTAAGAGAGAGGGGGGAATGGATGTTTACTATTAAAATAATGTGAGTTTGACATAAGTCGACAAATTTTCTTGGATTTCAGCCCTTAGTGACTGTGTCCAAGGCCAAAAGTAATAATTGACCGTCGAGTGTTCGATGCCCTCCACAAAACGTCACATAAGGAAGTTTTGCGTCGTAGTCGTGCAGCAACATCTGAGCTCAACTCAGTTTCCCTGCAGGACAGGGGGGAGCTGTATAGACGCGCTCCTCAGTATGCAGCACACCGTCTATTGTTTCTAGATGACCCTAAGTGAACAGCGGCACTACACAGGGCAGTGTGAGTGGTCCGTACTTATTTAGTATTTTTATTAATGATCTGGAAATCAGCATAGATAATCATACTCCCATTTGGAGTAATGGCCACTGTCGTACGGATTTGGTGGATCAGTTTTTAATTTGGCCTAAGGAAAGAGTATAATTTGTAATCCGTCGAAATGTCAAGAAATTATTTTTCGCAAGAAAGGTTTTATTCAGGATATTGCGCAAGTTAATAACATTCCGCAATGCACGGAGCTGCCCATTTTAGGCGTTACGTTTCAGGAGAATTGTAAATATAGCGAACACGTACGTGCTAGGTTGATTAAGGCAAATAAGTGTCTGTTTGCATTAAGATCTCTACGAAAGCGAGCTTTCAGTCAAGGTGAAGTAGACCACCAATTTAGCGCCTCAGTTTTTTCCGAATTTCAGTTATGGTCTGCCTGTTTATGGCGCTGTACACTCAGATCTCACGGTCATACAAAACGTTCTGGATAGATGCTTTAAAAGGAAATACACATTTAAGAGAATGGACATTCGAGAACTTTTAGAAAAGACAGATAAGAAGCTTTTCAAGGTACGTTCAGCGGATCCCGATTGCCAGCTTAGTAACATTATTCCAAAGAAGAAAGAAACAAAGTATCAACTCAAAAACAAAACTGCTCATCGCCTGGATATAAAGACTGAAAGATTTACGAATGTTTTTGTAAATAGGCTTGTTTTTAGATATAATCTTTGATCTTTCTTTTATTTGTATACAGTATGTCTTATGTATTTTTATCTTTTCATTTCTATACAGTATGTCTTATGTATTTTTAGACTCCCAACTGCTGATGTAACTGAAGATATGTCTTTTTATCTTAGGAGGAATAAAGATTGATTGATTGATTGATTGATTGATTGAGTGGACGAAGAAGCAAAGCGTGATGCTCGTGCAGAGTTAGCTGTTGTTTTGCTCATAAAGGATGAATTCATTTGCAGCATACCCGTAAAGCCGTCACATTTAATCGCAGGAATTTAAGGGCCACGTCCACACGTATCCGGATACATTTTTTTTTTTAAATCGGAGATTTATTTGTTCATTTTAGCCTTCCGCCCACACGTGATCGGTACTTTCTGGCACCAAAAACGCAGGTTTTAACAAACGGTCCCAGGAGTGGAGACTTTGAAAAACGATGTGCGGATGGACGAATACAGAGGTTCTAGAATACAACATTGCGCATGCTCTGCAAATGGATGCCATCGTATTTCAATCATTTTAGCGTTTTTATGTGGACGGGCGAAAAAGATTCAAATACGCTTCGTGTGGACCCGTATTTCGGATACGTGTGGACAGGGCCTTATTATTATTATTTTTTTTAACTTTGAGAGGAGTCAAAACAATGTAGCGAACAAATGCCACGGCTATGCGCGTATACTGCAGGTGTGTGCACCCTAATAAGGTAATAAGATACTTACCAGCCTGGGGTTTTCCCGAAGGTGTTGTACAACAGTTCGGCGTAACTCATCATGGGGCATTTGAATTCCTTTGATGACGTCAAGCTGCTCTGAAAGTGCAAAAAACATGCAGTTCCCCTCCCCTTGATTGTCAGAAATCGCAAAACCTTTCTCCAACGCAGTCGTCTTTAAAGCCTGCGACAGCACAGTTTTGCTGGACTCTGTGCGTGCTTCCAACAGGATTTGTTGAAGTGCAAGGAAAGTGGGTTCACCTGTGAGCGGAAGATGAAAAAGACAAAATAAGATACACGAAGAGGTTATTTCACGCCTGTTTAATAGGAAATAGTGATAATGATAATGATAGAGAATTTGTATAGTACTAGAACTATAAAATATTCAAAAGCGCTTAACATTAAGTTACAATCCAAAAAATTCCTGAAAAGCTAATAATAACAACAATAATAATAAAATTCCATGCTATGCAAAACTCTAAAAAATAAAAGTCTAAAATTCTATGCAATATTAAAATGAAAATATTCAAAGCATTAAACTTCAGAGTCATTCTAGTAAGTTAGTAACTTCACTCTACTGCGAAAATATATTTTGGCTTTGGTTTAATTGGCAAAGCAAACAATGACATCACCTGCTATCGGTCCTGTTGCAGCATCTTTCTCAAAGTCGTTCTTTAGAACGTCACCTTCTCGGTTTTTTTCAACACCTGCAAAAGTTTAAAATTAGCAGTAAATTTAAATGGTTTGGCCTGTAAGCGGGAGAGGGAAACATTATTTTACGTCAGTCTACTTGGAGATGCTACACTAAGCATTGAAAAGCTAAAAGCACCCGAAAAATCGAAAGTCCCCTGGTTTAACAGAAGAAAATAACCTCAGTCTACTGGTTTAATTGACAAAACAAACAATGAAATTACCTGCTATCGCTCCTGTTGCAGCATCTTTTTCACAGTCGTTCTGTGGAACGTCATCTTCTCTGTTTTTTCCAAGACCTGTAAAGTTTAAAAAATTGATGATTTACAGAAAACTATGTCACTCTTAAAAAAAAATGAACGATTCCAACCTTCATTTTTTGTGACAACCCACCATTGCTACTGGATATGAATAGAAATCAGATGACTTTGATGTATCGCAATCTTATGGATTTAAAATTTCAATTTATCGTTAACTCTTTCAATTGTAGTCCATATGTTATAAAATTATACATGAAAGTTTTAAAAAATGGAATTGATCAGCCGGTAAAAAAAGATCTTGATTGTTAAACAAATTCTCCTCATCAGTAACACGAGAAATGTATGAAGAACAGTGTGGAGAAAGTGAATGCTAACATTAAGGATAAAAGGTTAACAATAACATTTCTGCAGGGATGCACATGGACCACGAAACATAATATAGTAAAAATGTATTTATGCAATCGCTGTTGCAGAAGCGATGGACATACAGAGATGAATTATAAAACCAAGTGGAGGATAATACTGAAAAGATACGCATTTGAAAATCATCAGGTACTAATTATTATTATTATCATTACTTTTCTATCGGTAAATTTGATTTCTTACCATAGACCATTTTCCACATCCTGTCAACAAGGGACTGGCACTGTTTCTCCCAAGAGAATCTTTCATCATAACTTCTTCGCAGTCTTTGGATTTCCTCAAGCCGCTGCGCCCTTGATTTTTGACGGATGGCTGCAATTGCCTTTGCCCATTCCTTGGGGTCATCAGAGTCGATCACAAATGATTCACCCATTGGAAGACCACGCAGTGCTTTTCCAAATCCAGAGTTTCCACTAACTAGAATGGGAAGACCAGCTGACATGGCCTCCAATGCTGTCAAACCAAACCCCTCAGTTCTTGATGGCATAATGGCCAGGTCGACTTCACAAAACAATTCTCTCAATCTTTGTTTGTCTTTCACAAATGATCTCACAATCAGCTGGTTCTTTGAAATGCCAGTCTGGAGTAAGATTTCTGCGACGTCATCCTGCCTTCCATCGGATGCACCAACGAAAACAAGACTATAGGAACTGTCCTTCAATTCAACTATGGATTGAGCGGCAATGTCGTATCCTTTAAGACTAAAGTCTTCCAAATCACCGCGACCAAAGGTCAATACTCTGAAATTTACACCATCTTCTGCACCATGTTCAATATCTGATAACTCTGCAAAGGAACCTGGTATTAATTGAAAGATATCTCGATGAGATGAACGCAACTTGCACGCGATCGCTTCTTTTAACTTTGGTCCAACGGCTACAACGAGATCTGCAATTTGACAAAGGTCAACTTCAGCTCTGTTCTTCTCTTCTCCCTTGGCAATGGCACTTGGATAGTTCTTATGCATTGCCAGCTCTTCAGGCTCAGTGTGAACAACCTGCACCCACTTACAGCAATGAGACTTTCTTATAATCTGTGCTTGTCTACCAAGCTTTGCTCCATGGCCGATCACAATCTGAATGTCAAGGTCTTCTGGGGGAACGATCAACCAGTCAAGAGGATCACTGTAGGCAGGAAGGCGCCCTGCTTCCCGGATGGAAATGTTGTGACTTTTGGCAGCTCTCTTATGCTCTTCGCCACACTCAAATTCAGGTACAAGAATGGTCACTTCTACGTGTGAGTCTTTTGCCAAATGTATGGCAAGAGTCCTGTTTATTGTTGACAAGCCACCCTGAGACGATCCCCACTCATTCGCGAGAAGGGTAACTTTCAGTACCAGACGCTCTGGGCGAGCTTGTTTGGTATCAGGTGATGATGATGGAGTACACGCTTCCTGCATAGCAACCAAAATTGCATATTATAAAATACAAATTTTACATCTGGGGGGTTCTACCTTTTTGAATGAAAGTTTGCAAGACATGTTAACACGTTAAATGCTATAAACTCATTGCTCAACAGCAAAGCAAAACAGCACATTAAAAAAGACTTGAGAAAAACTCATATGCCAACTGATATGCCTATTAGACCAATAACAATTATTAATATATGGTAGTCAATTGACCTTATCACCCAACTTACTTGATTTGAAGTACTAATGTTTGCTAAGTTGATAGCAACAAAGCCTTCTCTTACACTCCAGTGGGGCTCGTGGTAGGATAAATAAAGGCATACGTTAAACCTCATACTATAGCCTTAACAAAGCACATCCATGGACTTTGTTGAAGCCTCTTTAGTTTAAATATATTGCTACAGTGGCTACTCTTTAGAAAGACACAATTTTAAGTAGCATGCGTATTCGATAGATATGTAATATGCTACCAGCACTACTGGAGATTGCATTTCACTACTACCTACCCTACTTTCTATTTGTGAGAACCACTTTTCTTGTCCAGTAACTGTGAGTACCTCCTCTGCAGGTTTCTTCTTGCAAATCAGAGGACCGCCTCGTCTTAACTCAAGGAGGTGAAGACAATCTCTATGAGAACATGCAATCTGATCATGGCTTGAGCATTTTTGCCGCTGACAATACGGACAGGCGACCCGAATATGATACTGCAATCCACCTTTATAGAGATCACGTGACAAAGTTTGCAAAGTTGCCTCCACAAACTTACGAACCTGCACTGCCACCTCACTTGTGTCATCTACTGAGATCTGCTGAGGTTGGTTTCTTTGCTTGATAAAAAACTTAATAAACTGTTTCTCACAAATAAGAACAAAATCATGAAAAGTTTGCTTGCCAATAACAAACCACGCTCCATTTTGAAACAGGCTAGGGGGCTGAGTTGGACCAGCCTCAGAACACCAACGGACGGATCGAGAAACAAGCCGAGTGAACAGACCATGGGGAACAGAACCGCTGACAAAGTAAACATACAGGGCACAAGGGTCCAGCCTAGAGGGCGCCATGGAACAAAGGGAATCAGGCGAAGCTTTGAGTTGAGATGGAACAAAATACTTTTCACCTGCCTTTGAAGATGAAAATTTTGCAATTAATCCAAATTGTTCCATCAAATCAAGAATGTCTTTCCTGGCAACACCCTTCAGGAGAAAGCTGGAAAACACAAGATCAACCAGTTCCATGGGGAGAGCACCGCTTTCTTTAACTTCCTTCCAGTACTTGGCAACCTTAGGAACCTAAGACGGAATAAGGTGACGGACAATAACAAAACTATTTTAAAATAGTGATATTTAGGGAGAATTTCAAGCCAGTTAATTAATGTACTTGTAAATTATTGGTAATTTCATTTAATATTTTAAGTAAACAAACAAAGAAAAAGATCTTGAGTTTCCCGTTTTTGTGTGGGGACGAATATAAAGAAAAAGGTTACGTAGTCTGCCTAGCAAGTACTACTGTGTGAATAAAAGTAAAGAGGATAGCCTTCTAAGCAGCCCTCTGTTTGGTTCGTCACAATTCTTTTTAATCCAGTTAAAAGATTTACGAAGTCAGGTTTTCTTTTCTTTACAACGTTCACCGTAACCTCGCGCTGAGGGAAAACAATAGAAACGTGGTTGTCGTGGTGGAAGGAAACAATGTGAAATAATGAAATGTGGAAAAGGAAAAAGGGATGAAAATGGAAAAATGTTTTTTCGTGGTAGAAAGGGCTAGTTTGCTTTGCTCCTCATTAAATATTCACGACTTGCGCGCATTGTAAAGAGGAACAACTTGGAAACAAAGGTGGACGGAGGATTTTGTGATAGAGGGGGCCTAGAGATATAATATACAGTAGCAATATGGGCGCGATAGCGCCCATCAGAACTGCGAACGGCGCACTTTTCTAGGGAGATTCGGGGGCATGCTCCTCCGGGAAAACTTTTGAGATTGAAGTTCTCTGAGATGCAATCTAGTGCAATCTGGACGCTTAGATTTAGCAAATGCCTGGATTCCATAATGAACATGAAATGCTGAAATATTTAATAAACCACGGGTGTGGTTGTGGTTAAAAAGGTAATTAACACTGTATGAAATATGTAGGCTTCGAACACAGATTCCTTTCTTATTAACAATGTTTATAAAAGAAAGTATATTTAAGTAACAAAGCTCGAAGTACTATCCGGCACACGTTGACAATATAAAAAAGAAAAAAATTCCCGAACAAAAAGGGGGAGCCTGGGCCCCCTGGGCCCACCCCTAAATCCGCCCTTGGGAACAACTTGTTGGATAATGAAAGCAGTATGAAATGGAACTTGCATAACTACTTCACAGGCGAGTTAGCGCTTATTCCTTCGACAACCTAAATCAACCAATGAATACTTTTCCCAGTTCTTACACGTAGTCGTCAAACGTGATGAAAAAGCAAGACCTTCATATACTAAGAAATAATTGGAAAACCTGTCCAACTGGTTAAAAATAGCACACGACCTTATCTTAGGGCCCGTGTACATGGAGGTGGGGGACCCCAAGTAGGTGAGGTAACCCGTTTAGATGAGGTAACTCGCCCGTCAACATAATATTTTAATTTGACCACCTTTACATGATAGTTGGGGTGACCCGTCACACCTGTTAAGTCACCCCAAAGGGGGGCCATTATGAACCATTGCAAGTTTAAAAGCACGTTTAAAATGCACTTCTTACCATTTTCGTAAAATCTGGAATGGTGATCAGCTGCCCGAACAAGTCTATCAGCCACCTGGCACTCAAGATGACTGTACTACGGTGCTTGATAATTATTCTCAGGTCATGATAGAAATTCACCATGGTGGTAAACTCTTCCTCATCATCGACGAAGCAATTCTCCTTAACATGGGCCCGTAGCTTCGTTATACTCAGGTAATAAACTGGCTTGGAAAGCAAAGCGTTGATAACATTCTCAAAGCTCAGCCACCTAGTTTATTAAACCAGAGAAAAAATTGATAACGCACGTTAAGTATCCATGTGGCGACACAGCATACCTGTACTGACTAAAGTACAGAGCCCAGTAGTACGAAACATGGATAACTCTTTCCACTGGATAAATATCTATCCAAAATCCAGTGGATAGTGCCATCAAGGTTCCTGACATTTTTCCTCTTAAAAGAGATTCACTGTTTGAACAACTGGGGCTAGAAGCATGTATACGTTACAAAACATGACCGCTGACATGTGAAAAGCCGTGTAGATTTTTTATTAGTTAGTATTTATGGTCTTTCTAAAGTTAAGATGAGATAAATATAAGCTTAAATAAGCTGAACTAAAACTGGCCATGTTCTAATTTGTGACCCTGTGCAGTTATGCAGTTTACTACAGATTGAACGGGTGCGTGATCCACTTTACTTTACCTTTTTAAAACAATGAAATGTACAAAGTTCTTTTCAGCCAATTCAAAATGACATTATAAAACCCTTCAGGGCAGAATATTCCTTAAGGCCAGTCAAAACTGCTTTTCATGGTGAACTTGTTTCAATCAACGAGACATTCATTTCGTATGACCGCCAGGTGGCTCATACAGGAATCAATGAACTTTTTGCGTTCTCAATGTAATTTTTTTAATCAAAGTAAAGGACTACAATAAACCAGCATTCAGATGTTTTGCGTTTACGCTTTTACATAGCGTCACAGTCAACTGATGACACCTGAAACACATTACACTATAAAAAAAATCTTACAAGGATTGGCGAAAACAAACGCCATCCACATAAACAGTAATTTCAGTGTGTTCACAGCTCAACCCTTGACATACAAATTATTTAATATTTACTTTAATGGATTCTGAACATTCTGGTATAACCATTGCTTACCTTACAGGTATCCTCTCCCCAATGTAAGGCTCCTGTCTTAGCACTTCCAAGATTTTCACTTGTAGAGCTTGGATGTCATCAATGTTTTCATCTTTCGCAGTAAAAACATTTCTGATCTTACTCTGTAGTAATTTCGCAGTGTTGTCAATGCTGAAGATAGGCCGCACCACATGCCCTTCATAGTCCTTACCAGCAATTGCGTTCTGGATTTCTGTTTTCATTGTTGCAATGTCTTCAAATGGTTTGTCTGCATGGGTTCCTACAATGATCACTGGGGGACGTAAATAATGAGGCACCTCTTCTTCAACATCATCACAGGTTTCTCTTCTCATCTGCGCGACGCTATGCACTGTAGACAGCCAAGACAACAAATTCTCGAGATTTGTTTCTCCATTTGGATTTTCCAACTCAACATTACAAGATCCTTGCCTCACACAGGGCTTGGCTGTGTCATGCAGTGACTTGCTGAGGTTGCACACCAGGATGTACAGCGCACGTGATGATAAAAATAAAGGATGGGATGCATAATACAGGTGTTGTCCAGCAAAATCCCACAGTTCAATACTGACAACGGATTCTTCCTTAACACCTTTACCTTTTATATACTTTACCAAATTTACAGCTCGCTCCTTGACCTCCTCTGGAGGTGAAGAAGTATCAAGCACTAACTCAAAATCAGGTCCTGTTAATGTGAGTTCACTATCACTGTCTTCGTTTGGATCACCAACCTGTAGCATGTTCGAAAAAAAAGAATAATAACTGTTGATTCTGATTCTGAAAGACTTAACATATCTGGTTCGATTCTGGGGGGTAAAGAGGAATAATGGAGTAAGAATGAGGGAAAGTTTTTTTTGGAATAATGGATTAGTGCAATTTTGTTGCAAAAACAATATGTTACTCACTCGCTGCGCTCGTTCGTAAACTATTGTTTTGCCACTCGAAAATAAAATTCATATCTTCGCGCCACCGTGTAATATCCTCTATGTACTTGATGACAGAACATTCTTTATACGCTCAAGGAACAGTGAATTTAAGAATATATAGAAAAATAGTGTTTGATTGAGTCCCCCAGCCCATTGGCTTTACTCCTCGCATAAAACAGAAAAAGGAAAGAACTTGATACCGAAATTGTGATTAACAACAAAATACGCGAAACCTATACTCAAGGCCTAAATGACATTTCAAAATATAAATAAAGATACGGCCATTAAGGCAAAACTCACTTTGGTCTGCACACGCGCACTAATGACCTAAAGGCTAAGCTTAGGTGTAGATGGGTACAACCATGGAAATATAGCAAAATGGCTGATAGTAGTAACATTCTACACTCGGAACTAAACTTCCTAGAAAAAAACCCCCTAAATTCTTAACCAGAAACGTGCTAGAAAACGATCTGGCAGTTGGTACATATTTTCCATACAAACATTGTAGCAAAAGAATGGGAGACCGTGGTGCGTTTCTCACTAAAACCTAACTTATGAAGGCGATAATCAATTCATAATACCTAACTACTGTTAAGGTGTTCTTTGTGGTAAAAAAGGATTAACGAGAAAACGTCACATTTCACAACCAACAAAGACAAACCTCATTTACAAGAGAAACTTCTTCCTTTGCTCCATTAGTACCAACTTGTTTCCTATTCTTGTTATCATCATTTTTAAGTACTGCTTCACCTCTTTTCTCCTTCTGAACCCAGTCACGGTTAACTGAAATCTCATGCATCTTTTCCACCATCAGCTGTGCCACATCTCTCGAACATCCCAGCAATCCTTGTTTTCTCTCATCAACAGGTTTCCAATTCCTGACTTCACCAACGTCCAACTGAAATTTTGAAGGATCCACTTCAATTCCATCAGTACTTTTTTCTTTTGGATTAAATGATAGACCGATGAGAGACTTCTTTAAACTTGTTTTTCCTGCCCGATCCTGCCCAATAAGCAATACTCGACCACGGTAAACATTAACAGCTCCATCTTTCAGAGCCCTTTGATAAGCGAGCTGTGCTTTTTCTCCTCGTGCTTCTATTTCTAAAGGAACTAGTGAAAACAAAAAGAATGCTCATTAAATGTAAGTAATGTCTTAGAGGTTGTGTAGTTCATTGGCTTCTAGTTCACTTAACTGACCTATTGTAGGAGGTCATGGGGGGGGTTAATTTCCATCAGATACTTAGTCCTACACCAGTGTTTGTCCTTCTTGTGATCTTTCAGTACAGTCTTTGAAGTTATTAAAAGAAATTTATGGTAAAGATAATTTCACTGAATTTCAAATGTAACATATATAATTAATTTAGGTTATTTTTGATCAGTTAAACAATCCACCTGCTATTTTAAACTTTTTTTTTTACTGCCCTCACTTCAAGTGTACATACATGTTCAAAACACCATAAATGATGCGTCTTAATTAGTGTTGTGTTTTGCATCACCAGAATTATAACTGTTGTTTGCATCCCTCTAAAAGAAACAATTGTTCTGAACATCAACGAACTAACTTCGTTCCAATAAGCGCCCAATCTCTAATAACCATCCCTATTGCATAAGCACCCTTGTTCCAACCCGGAGGGTTACTTGCGTTAACTATTTTTGGGGTATGTGCCGCTGGCCTCTCAAAACCCAGACCCCATTATAGTCTATACTGTGGCGATATTATAAACCCCATCTTAGTCACTTTTGGAAAAAAGTAATTTTCGCAATCCTAACTTAGTGACTTTCTACTTAAGCATCTACCTTCTAAAGCCTTTTAACAAGAAGATCCTTAAATCATCTGCCACCTTTTTGTTAACTTGATGTGGTGTAAATCTTTCTATTTTTAAATCCTTACATACCTGAATTTTCTGATCCCAAAATCCTGAAAATGTTCGACCCCGTTCCAGTAACTCTTATAAAAATGTAACCCTATAATAGTCAATCCAGTCGTGGAAATGCCGCCCAATCCAGCAGCACATACCTATTAGCCTACTGCTAGGAAGTACCCCCCACCCGGGTATTTCAAGCGCCCCAATACCAATAAGCGCCGCTATTCAATCACCCACTATTGTTCCATCCTATCGTGACAAGGTTGACCCTAATTTACGCAACCCGAGTGAACAGCCGCGAACGCTCTCGATTGTTAAAATCAACAAAGGGCCTACAGCACCAAAGATAGTGCCAAAGCGTATGGTTTGAATGCCTGGTGCCTGGCAAAACCTGATGCAGCTCCGACTGTTTATGCTGAGCTTAGTAACAATAACATTGATACCGACCGTATTTCCTAGAATAATAGCCGGGGGCGACGACTATTTTTTCCCACAAAAAGGAGTCGATTATTTGAGGGGGCGATTATTTCAAATATTGCTCACTGGAGGTCGTGCCCAAAATATTTTGTTTTAGTATTCCATTAAACCCAAAATTGATAACTTCAACTAAACAGAACATGGGCTTTTAAATAGTATTTCAAATTACTTTGGTTATTTGATTAATTTTCAATGCCAACATCCTCGACACCCGAGCTTGAATTGTCACTAATCAGTTTTGCTGGATCAGGCTCCACTGCAGCTTGACAGGGAGGGGATAAAAGCAAGAGAAAATGGCGAGAGGGGTGGGGGTGGGAGATTATTGGAGGGAGGCGATTATTTTAAACATTTCGGTCTAAGGAGGGGATTATTCGAGGGACGGCTTTTATTCGAGGACTGTTTTGTTTAGGAGTCATGGTTGAGTAAGATAATCTTGTCACATTCGAATTGCCCAGAGAGCTATATATTATGGTGAGGAAAGATCGAGCTGGCTCCTAAATCTGTGGTGGTGTTGCTATTATTTGTCGGAATGATTGGAAGGGTAAAGCGTTGAACGTCACTGATAGCTTGGAATTTGAGTCTTAAGTTGCAGACCACGTCGCTTTGTAGACATGATGGCCTCGTATAGCAGACGAGAATTCGCCTTCATAAACAAGCTTCGAACTTCAAATCAAGGGATTGCCAGAAGGAGCCATGATCGTAGACGTTTGCTAATTCTTGCTCATAAGGTGCCCTGCCCCTGTTTTATGGTTCAAGAGTTTTGCTTCGCAACGTAAAAGAAATAGACGCCCTGTTTCGAATAAGCGCCCTCATTTGAGAAACCATAAGTATATAAGCACTCCGGGCGCTAAATCGAGTCATTACGCTGAATAATTTAATGGCATTGTCTTTTGTTTAAATTATTCTATAGTTTGTTTCCTCCTCCTTAAGCGTTATGCTTTTGAAGTGG